TCTTACTATGTTTTGAGGCACTTTTAACAAGTTTGGATGCACTCTAAATATGTTTCGATGTGCTCTAAACATGTTTCGACTGTTGAAGAACAAAGAAATGGAGTACATGAGGTTGGAGATTCTGCAGACTATGAAGAAGAAAAAAAACTGCCCAGTAAAACAACTTAGAACGAAAGCATATAGTTGCTATAATATAAGGGAATGGTAGCTAAAGTCTGTTAATCTGCGGAGAGAAGTCGCTGACCTGTTGGAGACGGTCCATAGTCCTCAAAGGCCTGGAGAATTCAAAGTAATAAGTTCCTTTCTGACCAGCAGACGTGTAAGGGCTGTCATCATCTACAAAGCCTGTTTTATAAACTATAACGATAAGTAGCCAGGGGATACACCTGATCTAAAACTGAAAGACTTGAGCATATCATATAGACAGTAGAACACATCGTTAAAATCCAACTCTACTCCTGGAAACCTGATGAGAATTTCTCAGTTAAAAACATGATTTTGATCACCAACAAGGCTGATATCTCTGCAGCAGATACACATCGAACAAAGTTTATGTATACTAACCCGAGTAAGTGGTGAAGCTGCTATGCCACCATGCTCCATGCCAGTCATTCTGAGCACTAGAATCATTTCCTGCAAGATGAATAGATCCGAAATTGTTTGGCTGAGATATGCAGGTATATGGGGAAAAATAAAAATGTCAGGATGAAGCTCTTCAAGCGCTTAAGTAACATACCACTAGATACTCGAAGGAATATAAGGAGTTATTCTTTTGGACGATAAAATTTTTCTCATGACGAAAGCAAGGAACCTACATGGCCTTCCTATGCACAAGCTAGTAAGCATTCGCCAGAATATATGGTACACAGTATATCAGTGCTAAAGAAAAAAATTGATCTGTCGTAATTTGATGTGGCATTTGAGTAATCTAAACAACAAATCACAGGCCAAGCAAACCAGTAAAGCTGGCAAAAATGCCACAAAGGTTTACAAATAAGGTAAAAAAGGAAACCCTGCAAACAAATCATTTACGAGGTCGGCTTGATAGAAGATAATTGGGAGTCAAGAAATTCAAGATCAATGAAAAGGGATGTTCAAGCAAATACAGTAGGTCAAACCGGTATACAGTTCCATCTATTATGATTTCGTGGAAGCCACCGTGGAGTTGTAGAAAAGAAAAATAGAGATTAACAGAAAGATTTGGCATTGATTACCATAACATGTATGTATGACGAGCATATTAGTGGACACATCATATTCTTGCGGTCAATTCACAATTGTTAGTGGAATATGTCAATATCAGTTTTGGGCACAAAACACGCCTCCACATATAGAGGGGAACATGAATATATCAATCATCAAAAAAAGATCAAAATTTTGGAATGATCAACCAAATTCCAGGAGTACCTGAAGGGCCAAGACCATCAAGGTATCTGCAATGTGGGTTCCAGGAATACACGTCAACTAAATGACCAAATCTGTTCACATGAAAGACATAAGTTAGCAAAAAAAAAAAAAAGGTATTCACAGAAGATCCACTGAATCGAACCAGTCATTCACCACGATATGTGGGCAAAACATCAGATGATATAATACAAGATCAAAGAAGAAGAGATAAAACAACTAAAGATCATGTACTCCAAAAAGAGTTCAAATTACCTATCACCCCCATTCCCTTCCCTGTTATCGATTGGATTACCACCATAAAGACGACCTGGAATCGCATTGCCTATGGAGAAATGCATAATATCAACCTCATAGCCTTTGCAAGTCTTGCTGGTACAAGAGTCCGTCCCTTCTTTACAACCGCCCATCTAAGGATGGAAGAGACTGGTGTTAATTTTCGTATAGAAAGAATATATACGCAGCTCAATAAACATACATTCAAACAAAACTCTACAACCAGGTGAAATCTTACATTGTGATAAGTAGCTTGATCACCGATCTGAAACATGAGAGAAACTGAAGGGCACTTGTTGCTTTCACTGGATTGAAGAAAGCAATGCATTAAAACAGTGGTTGACAGAAGAATATGAAGCACCCAATAATGTAAAACTAACAATTAACAAAGCGAGCATCGTTCCAGAGTGATCTGAAGCAACATTATCACTAATTTAATTACCCAGATGCTAATCAAAAAGCTACATTCTTATAAACAGAATTTAACTAGAGTGAAATCAAAATAAAAGATAAAGATTACTAATGTGTTAACAGGCTTTTGCACCCAAAAATTCACGTCGAAATCGAAGTTGCTTTTATGTGATAGATCCCTTTTCCTTCGTCGGAAAGCACACTTACCCTTTACTGTAGGCGTAATTCCCATCAATTTCCAGCATAAAGAACATATCATGACCATCATGCAGAGCCTGTAAATAGAAACCAACCACGAAACGTTAAAAGGCGATTAATCCGACCCGGAATAAGCGAGATCCAGATTTATCGAATCCAAATCAAAGCGCATATAGCAGCTTAGAGTATAAAATCCCATGAACTCTGCATCAGCGACACTCAATCCAATCGCCAACAAGTGGATCATGACGCATCAAAAAGTTTCTCGCTAACTTCGACAATCAACTCAAACTACAGAGATTTTCCACCACCGGCATCAAACACAGCTAATGCAAACCGACACGTTTACCTTGACAACCATCTTGCCGGCGGCGTACTCGTGGTCGGCGTCGGGATCAAGAGCGGGCCGGAGGGGGAACTCGGAGCCATCAATGTCCTTCCAGTCATCGGGGCGGCCGTCGAGAGTGACAATACCGGGCCGGAAATCGGCCATGACTCGGATCTCGGACTCCGAGTCGCAGCTCCACTCGCCCGATTCCTGGTGCGATACAACCGTCGCCGGGCCGACGAAGAGGAGCCATGCGAGAACCAGGATGCGAAGCATTTCCAAAGGTCGAGAGAGTATCCCAATAAGGAATTCTCTGATTGACTAATGACTATTTACGCCACCCGAAGTGAAAAATCCCTGGGCCTGGAGCTTGACTTGTCAGCAGCGCTTAGGAGGGCGACGCTGATATATTACGGAGACGCACCAAAGAAAAACATCATTATCACTAAACAACTCTGTTAATTATGATTATAAATATGATTAACCCAAAACAGGTTATGCTTCCCCTTGCTTTTTTGCAATTGATTTGGTATGAGTGTATTATAACACGTAAGGTTAAGTCCAGGAGAAATGATCCAACAACGTTATGACATGGCATTTCCGTTGATATTATGGATATACAACTGTATCTTTATCAGACAAACACATGCGATTCCGATGTCCATGGTTCTAAATCCTTTATTATTATTACTTCTTAATTATAATTATAATGAATTAATGGTTTCTTTCCGGTCTTGTTTTATGAAAATTTTATCACCGCCTTCAATATATATATATATATATTTAAGAGGTGAATACCAACCAAATCGTTTAAAATTTTTGAACGAATCAAACGGAATTTAAAAAAAATTGAAAAATCAAAATTAAATTAAAATCGAGTATGATATAATAAATGATTAATACATATTTTAATAATAGAATCTAAGGAGCCCAGCCCTCCAAAAATATATTATATTTTTCCCCCTTTTTTTTGGGAATACAAATCATCAGATTTCAAAAAGGGCCTGATGAGGTTGTGACGACAACTTGCAACGTGAGCCACGTAATTTAGAGTGCCCATAAACCCCACGAGGCACATGTCTCGGCCCAAGCCCACTGAGATTTAAAAAAATATATTATTTTACCAATTAACTGAAATCCAATTAAGCGATTTCTTTCCTTTTGTGCTGTTGTAAATTCCTAACTCAATATTTAACACCGATCTCATAAACATAACTCTCCGCTTTACACAACGGTCCAAATCCCGCCATCTTAACTTTGGTGAAATATAGAATATATTATTAATCGAAATAAAACATTGTTATCCGGAATCAAGGAAGACGTGAATATTATTATCTGTAATCAAGGAAGACGTTGATATATATATTATCCGGAATCAAGGAGATATAAATATTCTGTATTCTAATTACACAATTTAAATCTTGCCGGCTCTTAAGTTTAGTCAAGTGTATATACGGTATCCAGAAATTTACGACGTAGCAAACTCATCATCATCATTTTGTAAAATCTGCAGTTGCCTTTTGTACTAATCCAAGATTTTATATGTATCTTGATTTTCATATATCGAATCTGTATAAGTTTATAGTCTTATAGATATATACATACGAATCATACTGATCTTCTTTGTTCATTCATATCAAATACCCAAAAACTCTTAAATCTTACTTCGACTTGCTTGAAACAATGGATTTCCTTCCTGTGAAAGGAGTTGATGAGAAGCCCTTTGACCTAAACGACGGCGTTTTCGCTGTTAACGGAGTTCCTCTGCTCTCCGACGTTCCCGACAACGTCGTTTTCAGTCCCTTCTCGACGGTATGTGTAACCTCGGTCTCCGACGCGCCTCCTGAGATTGTCCAGCGCGTGGAGTCCACCTCCCTCAAAGGTGGGTTCTTCGGTTTCACCCAACATGAACCGTCGGATCGTCTGTCGAACTCTCTGGGGAGATTCGACGGTCGTGATTTCCTGAGCGTGTTCCGGTTTAAGACGTGGTGGTCGACCCAATGGATAGGGAAATCCGGGTCGGATCTCCAGTTGGAGACCCAATGGATCGTCCTCAACGTCCACGAAATCAAATCCTACGTCGTCGTCATCCCCATCATCGAGAAATCCTTCCGGTCATCTCTGAACCCCGGAAATGGAGGCCAAGTCATCATCACGGCGGAGAGCGGCTCCACCTCCGTCAAAGACTCGTCCTTCCGGGCAATCGCGTACGTACACGTGTCCGACAACCCGTACAACCTCATGAGAGAAGCGTTCAGCGCCATTAGGGTTCATCTCAACACGTTCAGGCTTCTGGAAGAGAAGCAATTGCCTCGCATCATCAACAAGTTCGGGTGGTGCACTTGGGACGCTTGTTACTTAACGGTCGAACCGGCGAGTCTCTGGCATGGCGTTAAGGAGTTCTGTAATGGAGGGGCATGTCCGAGGTTCGTCATCATCGACGATGGTTGGCAGAGCATCAACTTCGACGGCGATGATTCTGGTAATGACGCAAAGAATCTCGTTCTTGGCGGTGAACAGATGACAGGAAGGCTTCACCGTTTGGACGAAGGTGAAAAGTTCAGAAGGTACAAGGGTGGGTCTTTGTTGTCTGAAAACGCTCCTCCTTATAAACAGGACAAGCCCAAGATGTTGATCAACAAGGCCATCGAGATCGAACGAGCCATGAAGGAGAAGAACAACCTGGTCGAGGCCGGTGAAACTGATTTGGAGTGTCTGAATCTGAAAATCCAGATGCTGAAACAAGAACTTGAAGAGATATTCATGCAAGATTCAGACAAGGAGGAGTTATCATCATCATCCTGTTGCAGATCTGAGGAGAACTGTGTGGAAAACACTGGACTAGAGGCTTTCACCAGAGACTTAAGAACAACCTTCAAGAATCTGGATGACATCTATGTGTGGCATTCGATTAGCGGTGCTTGGGGTGGTGTGAAGCCAGGGATCGAAGGTCTAGACATTGAAGTTGTTCCATGCAATCTATCTCCTGGTCTGGACAGGACAATGCCGGATCTGGCCGTAGACAAGATCGTTGAAGCCGGTATTGGCCTTGTTCATCCTTCCCAGGCCAGGAAATTCTACAACTCTATGCATTCTTATCTTGCAAATGCTGGAATCACCGGTGTCAAAGTCGATGTCATTGAAGTAAGTTATCACCAAAATCTATACCGAGTTTCCTTTTTTCTTTGTTCTTATATCAGATATATTTTCGTGGGCAGAAACTCGAGTATGCCTCGGAGGATTACGGAGGAAGGGTGGAGCTTGCAAAGGCGTATTACGATGGATTAACGGATTCCATGATTAAGAATTTCAGCGGAACTGAACTTCTCGCCAGTATGCAACAATGCAATGACTTCTTCTACCTCGGAACTAAGCAAATCTCATTCGGAAGAGTCGGTAAGTCATTGGAATCTCTCTCGTGCGATAGTTAGACCGTCTATTGATATACTATCGATTTCTCTGTGTGTGTGTGTGTGTATGTATGATACAGGGGATGATTTCTGGTTCCAAGATCCAAATGGTGACCCAGAAGGCGTGTATTGGCTGCAAGGGGTGCATATGATACACTGTTCGTACAACAGCCTATGGATGGGTCAGATGATTCATCCGGACTGGGACATGTTCCAGTCGGACCACGTCTGTGCCAAGTTCCACGCCGGTTCGAGAGCCATCTGCGGTGGACCGGTCTACCTGAGCGACTCACTCGGTCATCATGACTTTGGTCTCATCAAGCAGCTTGTCTTCCCCGATGGAACCATCCCAAGATGCATCCACTATGCACTTCCCACCAGGGATTGCCTCTTCAAGAACCCTCTCTTTGATCAAGAGTCTCTCCTCAAGATCTTCAACTTCAACCAGGTAATCAAAAGCTCCCACCTTTACATTATTTTTTGAAAACTTACTTCCAACCCATGATTCTGATAAACAATCCGAGAAACCCCTTTTGATTTTTTTTTTCTTGCAAAGATTAGTAATTTTTTATTTTCATTTGCAGTATGGAGGTGTAATAGGAGCATTCAACTGTCAAGGAGCAGGCTGGGACCCAGAGAAGCGGAGAATCGTGGGACACAAGGAATGTTACAAACCAGTTCAAGGATCAGTTCATGTCACTGACATCGAATGGGACCAAAGCCCACGCATCCCTTCTTCCGACATGACCGTACCCGATCGGTACATTGTGTACTTGCAGCAATCCCAACGGATCCTCTTCGCCACCCTTACCTCCGACCCCATCGAAATTACCATAATGCCCTCTTCGTTCGAGCTCTTCAACTTCGTCCCTGTTCGTCGCTCGGGGGCTGGCGTGGAATTCGCCCCGATCGGGCTGACCGACATGTTGAATTGTGTCGGAACGATCCAAGAGCTGGAGATGGATGGTTCGGATGTCAGGATCCGAGTGAAGGGAGAAGGCAAGTTTTTGGCGTATTCGGGCAAAGCTCCCAAAGAGTGTGCGGTGAATGGAGAGAGTGTCGAGTTTGGTTGGGAAACTGAGACTGGAAAGCTGAGCTTCGACGTTGAATGGGTCGAGGAGGTCGGTGGAGTCTCCGACATCGTTTTGGTCTTCTAGTCGCTTGAATTTTCAGCAGAACACTATGACTATTTGCTAAATTAGTGATTACCAAGTACGGATTTGCTGTTATTTTCTACGTTCGGATATGAGAAGTTTGTGTTTTTCTCTTATTATTAGGGGTGTCAATTGTGGCCGAGGCCCGAAGTCCGGCCCCGCGTGACCCAACCCGAAAAATAGCGGGTTTCGGGCCGAGATATTGAGGCCCGAAAATTTTTCGGTTTTCGGGTCGGACTCGATTTGGGTTTCGGACTCAGATTCGGGCAGCTCGAAAAAATCCGATTTTAAAAAAAATAATCTTAAGAAAAAAAAAAATATATATATATATATATATTAACAAAGAAAATCGTGCGGACAGGCCCGGTCTCGTCCGGCCCGG